GGATGCCCTCACCGATTTAATTGGCGAGTGTTCATTGGACCACATTCGACATTTACGTTCTGTGATTGAACCATTCTTTCAAAAAGATTTCATTAAGGAATTACCTAAGGAAGTAAGTAAATGGAACGAATTAGATTTAAGTGCTGCGAACTAGAATTAAAAAATTAGAAGTGGAATGTCTCATTTTTTATTATTAAGTGATTTCATGGCAGAAATGGAATTCCCTGTTATTCGATAATAAAGGCGATAGATTGTAATCATAACCATTTCGACAATAAGATTAACTTTTTTTTTCAATGAATATGAGATTTGCTCCACGTCGAGAAAAATACTGTCGAACTCCAGTCGTCTTCATCTGAAGAATTGTTTCAGATTGCATTACATGTTATGTGTTTCTTATCTCCTGCTGACATTGCTCGAATATCATTAACTTGTCATTACTGGCGTAACTTAGCTGAAGATAATCGTTTATGGAGAAAGAAATGTGAGGAAGTGAATGTTACAGCTATGGATGAGCCAAGGTAACTGCTATGAGTTCATAAATAGTGTAAAAACATATTAACATAAAAAGGGGACACTTGATGGAGATTTGGTTTAAAAAATTAGTATCGGAAGTTTGATTATCCATTTCTATAGTGACCGAAAAAGCGGTGCATGGGCAGAGACAGCCTCAACAAGTGGTATTGAAATTGTTGGATATCGTCCTGTTCCCAGCTATCGTCTTGCGTTGTTTACTGGTTATCATCCGCATTGGCTTCGGTAAATTTCTTAAATATATTCAAAATTTTTATGATAAAACATGGACCTATGATTGATAATCAATAATTGGCATTACATTTCGTAAGCAGTGTGTACAAAAATAGGGAATTTGTGTGAGGCAGTTAGCGTTAATGCTGGTCCTTAATCTTGATCTGCATATCATTTGAATAGCAAAGAATTTTTAGGTATTATTCGGATACAGATGATTCGCCAAAAAATGTTTGTTTAGCAAGGTGACTGTTTTGTTTTTCACAATTATTAAATAATTTTGAACTGAAGATGTTGACAAAATATGGACATTTGTGGGAAGGAAAGTTCGAGTTATTGTTAGATTCTTCAGCTTTTAAGTCATACTTTTAAAATAGTAACACAACTTAATTTTAAAATAGATCAAAGTGGAAAGCACTTTATTTGCGACATCAGCGTATCTTGGCCAACTGGCGTTACCGTCCGCTTCGTGGGTCGTGTATTTTAAAAGGACATGATGAACATGTGATTACATGTTTGCAAATTCATGGTGATTTAATTGTAACTGGTTCGGATGACAATACGTTGAAAATATGGTCAGCCAGCAAAGCAGTAGTAAGTTATTTGGACTACTAAAAAGTTTTTTGTGAAACCATTACAAATGATATTTTACCTGTTACATCAAAGTTTCCGGACGCGATGCTGCCATCTTATTACTTCTGAATATTTGATTTGAAACTGATGTTGTGGGTTACTTCACAGATGGAAGATTGGTCACGTCAAAGCTAAAATAATTAAATTTTCCAATATTTATTTTAGGATAGGTATGACTATACTCACATTTTTTACCGGTATCAAGTTTTCCGATTTCAGTGTTTGCAAACATTGACGGGTCATACTGGTGGTGTTTGGTCATCGCAGATGTCAGAAGATGGTAAAACCGTGACAAGTGGTTCTACCGATAGAACAGTACGCGTATGGTGCGTTGAGACAGGACGGTGCTTGCATTGTTTACAAGGTCATACAAGTACAGTTCGCTGTATGACACTTAGAGAGGACAGGTAAACCTTCATTATGTAACTTTTTTAAGATTTGTTTTTGAGACCATTTTATTTTATTTTTTGAATTTATAAAAAATGTAAATCAAGAATGATAGTTTTTTTTAAAGGCTTGTAACTGGATCTCGCGACACCTCAATACGTTTGTGGAATATCGAAGATGGTACATGTATACGCATTTTGCAAGGTCATGTAGCAGCTGTACGTTGTGTTCAGTTCGATGGTATACGCATTGTTTCTGGAGCATATGACTTCTCCATCAAGGTTTACAATTTCAAATTTGAGTGATCATTTTTCTGTCATTCTCAGTTCTTCATTGCAGAGTGGTTGTTGCTGACATCTATAAATGGCATATATTGTTTAGGCTTAGATATTTTGTGTAGGAATTATTTTTAATAGTTATGCTTAAATATTGCTTTTTTCTTAACTTTCTCTCTCTTACTGTTTCCAATTGTTTTTATTCTTAATAATAAATCTGATTTTGCGCCTTATTTAAAAATATAAAAGTTCACTTTAGTTTGTTAGATGTCCTGATTCTTATCAGTTCCTTATGGAACTGAAAAAGATTAACCGTAAAAAATTTTAAAAATAATGTTTCAGGTTTGGGATGCAGAATCAGGTAGATGCTTGCACACTCTAACTGGCCACAGTAATCGAGTTTATTCCTTACTGGTAAGTAAAACTCGTATTTCTAAAACACTTATAATTGTGAGATTATTTGCTTCTATAACATTAGGTTTGATTTCCCATGTAGGCAAATGCCTCTCCGTGTGCAATGGAAATATTCTTCCTTGCAGCCGCAATTACAGACATCAAAATAGTCACTATTTAAATTATACAAAGTTCTTGAAAAGTGATGTAAATTTATCTCCGGACCAGCTGGAGGAAATCAGTGGTTTATATTTTTGCAGTTTGATAGTGAAAGAGACATAGTTGTTAGCGGTAGTTTGGATACTACGATCAAAATATGGAATATTCGTGATGGAGTATGTACGCAGACACTAACTGGCCATCAATCTTTAACATCGGGTATGCAGTTAAGAGGCAATATTCTTGTTTCTGGGAATGCCGATAGTACGATTAAGGTTTGTGCTTCCCAAGTATATAGTTATGAGGAAAGTAACTTAACAGTTGCAATTCATAATTTAAAAAAAAATTATTCTGACTGCGAATTTCAGAATATATGAAATAATTTTTTATTCCGTTAATTTATATAACTCATTTCGTGAATTAACTCGCAAATTCTTATTTCATTGGAACGTTTGTTATTTATTAATTTTTATGTACGTAATTTTTATGAGTTTTTCGATGTGTCACTGAAACCAAAAAAAAGCCCTTTGAAAGCCCTTTGGTATGTTTTTGTACAAACTGTTTAAGATTTGGGATATTATGGATGGGCAATGCAAGTACACGCTGTCTGGACCTAATCGGCATGCTTCCGCTGTCACTAGTTTGCAGTTTCTTGAAAACGGTCTAGTTGCAACAAGTAGTGATGATGGTTCCGTTAAATTATGGGATGTCAAGCAGGGTATGTTAGCTTTTTTTGGTTGCAGAATATAGAATCATTACAATTCAGTTATTACATGAAATCTGTCAGTTAATATTATATTCGGCTGATCAGACAAAATATCTATAATATATTTTCTATGAATGAAATCGTTTATTACTTCCTTATTTGATCTAATTATTCGCCCCTAATTTTACTATTAACTAGTTACAATGTAGTTAACGTTTAACAGCGGCAGTTTAGGAGTATTTGTGCGTGATCTAGTTAGGCTTCGTTCTGGTGGTTCCGGTGGTTGTATCTGGCGTTTGAAGTCGACGCCAACAATGTTAGTCTGTGCAGTGGGTTCACGTAATGGTACGGAAGATACAAAACTTATACTGCTTGATTTTGATGCTGATTACCCGTAAATATGGACAGCTGATTTTATCTAAGCACTGTAAATCCTTTGTTTTATAGGCTTACTTTTGAAGTTTCGATGGATGTACATTCCTTTTTTCCTCTGCATTTTATAGATATTTTGCATCTATATGCGTTTTGATAGAACTGTAGAATTCTTTTGAGTATACCTTTGAGTATATATTTTCAATATATTCCATTTTTTCCAATCTTTTTCGGTTGTTTTCCCAATGTATAAGCATATGTAAGTATTTCAGATATTTCCTGTGTTGAACATTATTTTACAACTAATAAGGTGGTATTAGTGGAAGAGACTGTAATGCATATGTAATTTCTAATTGAACTGTGTAATTTGCAGTAGATCTGTAAAGCATTCATCTTCTGAAATGTATCTTCTTTTGCTTCTCGTTCGTGTTTTTATGTTTTGGTTCGTGCGTTTGTTTATTTCCGCGTGAACTTCATGCCTTCTAACGATTTTCATTTCTAAACATTGTTTCAGTGAACAAATTTGCTTTAAAAAGCTTAAGTCTAATGCAAAAATTAGTTAGAAAAATTCAAAATTGGTTAGAAAAATGAATCACTGTTTAAAAAGCCGCGGTTTGATTTAAATATTTCTGGAAACATAGCTTATCGCGTTGATTTGCTTTCAACAAGGTCTTTCATTTTTCTTTCTATTTTTTTCTGTTCGTTTTATCTTTCACTTATGTTTTGCTTCTTATTTGTTCAGTTCTGTGGAAGAAAGTATTGTATGCAAGGAAAATATTTTAATTGTCAGAAGAGAATTAACAAAATACTTCACGGACATCTTCACTGATGAATTAAAATTTTAATCGTATACCGTTCTTCCCGCGAAGTGTTATTCAGAAGGAGTATTGCAGTCGTCGTTCGTTAGCGCACTTCACGTCTCGGATATGAGTACATTCTTAAATTGCTGCAGAGATTTAACTGGAATTGAATCACACTTAACCTTTGTACTGTATTTTGTAGCTTGGTTTTATTTGCTAAGCAAATATGAATTCCTTCTTCATTTTGAACAGTTAAACGTTACACCTCACTTGTGAAAGTCCAAATAAAATGAGATAAAAAGCGAGTAAACAAAATACTCTACGAGAATTGTTAAAAGAATGAACATGCAGCTTCGTCGTTATGAATGATTAATTACACATCGCTAGGAATAGATATTTAGGCTAAATTTCTTGTAACTCAGTGTGGACACACGATCGGTATGGTTCGATATGAAGAGAGAAGGTTAACTTACTACCTGATGTTCCTTCTAAAATCCAGACTGTTTCAGTAGTAGACTCCACTCAACGATGTCCATCTGGCTTACTTTATCTCTAACTAGAATGAGCGATATTGTGCTGCAACAGGTGTATCGTCGAAGAGCATTATAAAAAGTTCAAAAATTTGACCAGAGAGGAGACCGCGAAGGACGGGTAACATTTAGAGTGGCGGTATTTGTGGTAACGGTTTTGACTTGCGCGTTTGTCTTGCGCGTTTGGAGACAATCAATTAAAATTTTAGATGGTGTGGTCGGTCTTTGATTTATGCTGTAAATACTGGTCAATCGATGAAAGTTTTTCATCCTTTTGAATGAATAATGAAATCAGTTACTGGGTTGAACATTATCCATGGCATTTCATGATCATCACTACAATACATACTTCACAAGTCGATGATTTGATTATAATTTGTTGGAAATGTTAGAGTTGTTTTTCGTCGAAGGATAGCCTCAAGAGGTCACCTAATCGCCTTGTCCTCTTCTTTTCTAGTTATAATGCAATTTTTAAAGTTTTGTGTTATTTCTTAGTGAATGAATTCTCATTGTGTTCCAAAAAATTACTTATGCATCCTGCCGTCAACTTTTAACCCTAATCAGTTTTAGGGGATAATGGGAATAATGTTTCTCTTTATCTTACTGCGATTTTTGCTGATTCTCGACGGTTAGCCCCGATTAATTCTAGAAATGGTTGGACTTCAATTAGTTTTATTTTAACTGGATTTAATCGTTTCAGTTTTGGATGTATGGAATAACTGATCTTTGGTTTCTTTTATAAATTGGACCAACACAATGAATACTGTTAGTTGCTGTACACTTTAATTCAAAATTTCGTTCGCTTTGTTGGAAATTCGACTCTGAGCATGCGATTCAAAATATGTTAATAAAAATTTTCTCACTTGTCGTAACCTTTGACAGCATCTTTCGTATAGAGTGGTGCAATTTTATATGCTTAAAAATGCTTAGAAATGAGTCATTGATTGTTTTTAAATCGTCCAAATAGAAGTCCAAACGACGCATAAATGCAACATTTATGCGCCATTCGGATTTCTTTGGATATCACTGTTTTGCTGATACACTACTGATTTTCAGAACTCACCAAGTTCCTGTAATAAAAAAAATATATTACAAAACAATGATAGCCAAAATCTTGCGATTATTTCCAACATACTACCAAAAAATTCTACTGCTGCTACTGAACTGAATATTAATCATAATCCTATGGCTGCGGAATCATCTACTGCGGTATTTCTACTTTTTTTTTAAAGCAACGATCATTAAACTAAATCGTTCAGTATACTAAGAAGTAATTTGAATGAATTTTGTTACAGAAATTTCCATTTCAATCTTCCGACTATCGGCAAGGGTTATCTTCCTCTGGCCAAACTTCTGAAATATCTAACCGACATATTGTTCGTAACTCACTTCTGGATCTTACAAATGTTTCGTAAGTTGAACTAAGCACTTTGAAAATTCATTTTTAAACCAACGCTGTTCTGTTAATTGGTCATTGCACACATCAGTTTTAATCTATGAATGTGGAACTCGTCTTCGTAACGCCTAATTTATTGTTGACAAAAGAAAAGGTTTCCTAAATTTCTGATTTACAAACTAAAGAGTTCTGGAACCTAAAATTCATTCAGTATTTTTATTACTATTCTTTGTTTGAAAGTTTTGGATATATTTCATAAACTGTCGTAACTATAATGATGTCATTTTCAAGAATACCAGTGGTACAATCCCGTCCTGCAGCATTGCGTTTTTTGCCATTCAATTATTCATCAACGGAAAATGGTTCTAAATGCTCGAAACACTCACAGTTCACTAGCTCATTATATCTAGCAGGTGCACTTTTTATTCTAATTAATGTCTTTCCAGATATTTCTGGCAAAGTACTAGACTACATTGATATTTCCTTTTCAAGGTTCGGATAGAAGCAGTTCCTCACAAATTACGAGTGCATCATCGAATAAGAGATACTCAGGTGTTTTAAATGAATCAAATTCTTTTGATGATTGTATCAAGAAAAGGCAGTTGCAATGGCAGCGTACTCAACGGCGTTCTGCTTTCAAAAAACTTGATCGATTGAAGAGCATGATAGGAACATCAAGTGGCAGTAGTTCTGGCAAACTTTACAACTTACTTCCAATTGCTCGGTAAATAAGAATGCATGACATTGATAGCTTGAGTTAGTAGGATGAGATGCCTGATGATAGGAAATCTGATCAGTTTTAATAAACTTTAGACGTAGCAGGACAGTTAGTGAACATAGCGCCATTGAGAAATGTCGCGGCGATGATGAGGATGATATTGAAAATCTGGAAAATGAATTCAGCTTCCGGGCGCGTCTTCAAGGCACCAGTCGCAATAGTTTGATTTCTCCTTCACTTCCGTCAACGTCAACCCCAAATAAGTTGGAGTCTCGTTATAAAAAGCGTCATATACCGGATGAGACGAGTGTTACGGGAAGTGCGAAAAAGGTGAGAGATGAGTCAATGGAAGAAAGCGATAATGTCAGGATTGATGAAAGTTTTGAGGAAAGAATGGATATTGATATGGCTGAGCCATCTCCCGAGCATCAGAGCAGTGCAATCGAAGTAATTTTTTCACATTCATAAGAATTTTGAAACCTTCCGTTTCTAGGGTATAGTTACGTTATTTATCTGAATAGGTACAAATTTTTGTCAAAATCTTGCGTCAATAGCGCATTCATGTCGGATAGCAACCACTTAATAACATCGAAGTACAGTATGATCTATTCTTCTTTTTGAAAGATTTCAGCTAATGAAGTAAGAACTTTTGGTATGATTATTAAATTGTTAATCTATACAGTAATGCTACAGTTTTCTCGGCTTTATATGAGGTAGTTTATTGAGATATTTTGAAGTGGTTCATCTGCAATTGTTTCCATCTTTCACTAGATAATCACAGAATTTTAAGGGTGAAGATAATTTGGGTAATGAACCTGATGAAAGAAACATTTCACTTTCTCCAACAGTGCTTAATCGATCTCATTCAGCAAGTTGCCTGGAAATCGGCGCCAACAAAGAGCCTGAACTACCTCCTCTTCTTGAAGTTGTATGTTACTCTTACAAACTTAATTATTCGACAAATAGTTTGACTGTCGTTTGAAGGTTCTTGTGAAAGTGAGTATTTGAGGTATTAATCAAATATTAAGCTATGACTTATTTTTACATATATGGTAGTGCAGTAAAGAATGCACTTTCAATTAACTATTACGGCAGGCATTCTATATTTCACCCACCGCATAAAAAGTGTTACTCATCCTATTTCAATTTCTAGAATGTCCTGAAGAACACAGCGTTCTGCACTGCAGGCATGAACTTCAGTTGTTTTGATAAAATATTCGAAAATACAAACTGATACTTTTCTAGAAGTATGAATTGGATATAATAAAAAACCCAGCTGTTCGTTCAACTGCTTTTGCATCTATTACTGCAAGAACTTTTGCCGATTTGCTCAATTCGATGACAAGGGAACAATTTTTGAAACGATTTGTAATTATCGATTGCCGATATCCGTTCGAATTTAATGGTGGACATATTCGAGTAATTTTTTCATTTTCCATAACGCTAGATTAGTGCATAAATTCCAGTTTTGAATTGAGTTCTTGAGATATTGACCAGCGCTGTTGATTGTCATGCGATGAACAATAAGAATGGAACAACTGATCCATTTTTTTTTTGTTTTGCTTGGCCTAAAAGCTGTGCAAGGACGTGCAATAATACAGTATATATAAATGCAGATTTAAGCATTTATAAATTTCAAATTCCACAAAATACATTCAAATCTTTAATTCTATCAAAATTCACGGTATCTCGCAGGACGCCCATAACTTATTCGATCCAGCTGAAGTGGAAAATTTCTTTTATCCCAATGATGTTGAATTACGAACACAATTAATGAAGAAAAAGCCCGTCTTCTATTGCGAATTCTCGCAAAAACGAGGACCTTCAATGTACGTTTTTTCTTAATATTCTTAATACTTAATTCTGTAAATGCGCAGCAGAAAGATGCAGTTCGTGTTTTATGAATGTTGCATGCATTACTACTTGCTCTACACATTAAACACTATAAAGTGATACGTCTAGCAAAATTCATCATTAAATAGAAACAATAATCTTATTTTTTTTAGAGCACTTGAACTACGTGCACTTGATCGTAAGCTTAATGTTGGAAGATATCCAATGGTAGATTATCCAGAAATGTATTTGCTGCAGTACGGTTATCGCGATTTCTACTTGCGTTTTAATAACACGCCAGTAAGAATCTTTATGAAAGTCTTGGGGACGTAGAAGAATTTTAATCATCACAATATGATTTTAATTTATGAGTGCTTTAAGCAAACCTTATGTGTTACTTTAATTAAAAAAAATTCATCAAACATTATTACATTCCTTTGATAGATTTTATGAAATTGTTCCACCTATCTCTCAAACATGTTTAGGATCTTCTTGAACCAAATGGGTATATCGAAATGAATGATGAAGCACATGCAGAAGAACTAAAAAATTACAAATACCATCGTGTTAATTCAGTTGCTTCGGCTTATCATACATTGGCAAGAGATCGCTATAACAGACAGCATAGGGAAGAGTTAAATCCTATTATGGAAATTGATGTGAACATGACGACACCTCCTCGCCGTATGCTACCGAGAGTTAGTCATTTCAATGCGCTTCAGTTTATTTTTCTGATGATGGTAGTATAATATGGAATTGACAAGATTGATGCTAAATGATGTAATTTTTTGCAGCGTTTATTTGTTAATTCACCAGAGTCTCCGTCACAATTCCCAGATGCAAGCACTCCTAAGAGCCGTCCTGTAAAAGACAGAGCAAGAGATGCACCAAGGAGGAATGTTTGTCGACGACTGTTCGATGATTTTAAATGAAATAATCCGGCTTCTGCTCTTAATATCAACGGTATTCTTCGAGAGGGGGATAGAATATTGTTTGGTTGTTTTACTTTTTCGATTAGTTTCGACAGTTCTGTGTGGTATGTTATACCGTTTTAATAGTATGTGTGTGTGTGCCTTGTAATTTTTGTTGTTTTCCCTGCTGAATTTTTCACCAAATATTAATGCTTTGTTTCAATTTTAATCAGTTTCATGTAAAAGTTATTTCATACAAATTTTATATCGCATTTTATTAAGCTTTTCGCAGTTTCAAATTCTTCCTATTTACCTTTCCAAGTCATTCTGCCATTATTATTATTACTATTATTATTATTATTACTATTATTACTATTATTATACCTATATCTATTCATACTTTTATCACATTACCATCATTACTTTCCAGTTTTAATTTCGATCTCTACTTGCTTCATTTTTTGTTGAAATGGACAACACTCCATTTCTGTTGAAATTTTATTAATCACTATCCTGGATTTCCACATCAAACTGATCTCCTATTGATATGTTATTTATTTGAAATGTTGTTCTCTTATCATTTACTTTATCAATCGGAATAATGATAAGATTGATATTCGTTCGAGCAGTATGTAACGTTTGCTGTTTTAATTTCATACTGAATGAAAATGCTTTGATAGATATACTGATTTCATAATCTGTCTCATCCATTGGCTTCCGTTCCTTTTAATTCCATCATTACATCTATGATTTATTAGTATTTTGTCTAGTTTTCATGTCATCTTTTTGTCGATATGGATTTCAGAATAATTTTAGATTTATCGGTAGCTATCTATATTTGAGCCTATGCACTCTGTGACGCTTTCTTTCCTTTGCTCTCTAAAAAAGTTCTGTTTATTGATGAATGAAATTGCTATTATAAAATGCTCTTTAATTATCACAAATGTGAAAAAAATTCTGTCACTTGCATCACATGCTATAAATCGTTTGGGACTTCTACACAGCTTATTTCAGGATATCCGTTGTTTTAGCGGTGAAGGATCTTTTTTTGTTGTTTTCGGTGAATTATAATTATTTCGTAGCTATCTTTTTTTGGAATCGACTTGCACCGTTCGCTACTGCTGTGGTTTCCGTAGTGATTGCAAGGGCTGTCATGCGGGATAAAATGTCCAGATGATCTTTTGAGACTCTTAATCTCAGGATTATCTATCCTGCTCAATCATTCTTTTGCAAATTAACTCGCATGGTAGGTGCTGGAATTCGCTTTATCTCTCTCGCCACTTCTCATCAAAATTTTACCTTTAACTGGAAACTTTTTCTATTTTCGCGTTATAAATGTTGCTTGGGTGATGTCATCCAATCAACCAGACTGTCTCACTTCATTGGTTTCCTACGTTCCTGAGTTAAATTTTGGCTTCAATTTACCCTCAACAACAGCTGTAAACCAGTTTGGCATTTCTGCTACAAATCAGGTAGCTTCATCCAATTTTCATCTCCAGTATTAATTTGTCATATTTTGATTACTTGTCATAATGTTTCTATCAATTAGATATAAAGTTTTTGTTGTAGAAACGGCAGACAGTCCCGCTCCATCCTGAACCATTAACATCTTTGGAAATTGTTAGTGCGCGAGGTAACTGTAACTGCAAGTGAGTATTTTAATGCTTGCACATTCAGTTTTCTTGAATTTCTACTTGTTTTTTTATTAGTTTCTGTCAATACAATCACCTTTCTCCACTTCATAGAACCTCTTCTTGATTAGAATAATTCTTCGATAGGTAATCTCATGGGAAAATCCATACATTAAATTTCAGTTTCAACTCACAGCCTTTAGACGCTTCTATTCCTGTTTCTAGAAAATCTAGATATCTCAGTTGCTTCATTCAGGTGTATCCCTCAAACACGAACTTCTCCACAACCTTTACGTCCTGCCTTGAAGAAGGCATCGCTTACTAAACCGTGGAACAAAACTGAAGAAAGTTTTAAAAACACTGAGAAAGGTTGCGAAGAGAACCGGATTTTGATTCCAAAACGACCTCTTGAAACAGAAGCAAAAGCAGAAAAACCTCAACCACTTCCAGCACGATTATTACAAAAGAAGAAGACAGTAGCATTTGGAAGAACTGTAAACGTGTCGCAAACAATTGAGGTTTTCTATAATTTTCGATTTCAATTTATTTTGATTTTTATTTCTCACTGATTTTGGAATAACTAGCCAACAAAATTTATGGGAAATGAAGTTACTATTTTCAGTTCTGTTTTTTGTAACAATTGCGAGTCATCTTTCGAGCACTGATAATTGCGGGAACCTCTGTGTGGTGTTCTATCAGAAACGTCTTTAATTTGCATCAGAAATGTCTCTAATTTAAGGGTACATCAAAAGCATATCGAAAGTTTTTGGATGATTCAAACTATCAGAAGAGTTTTCCTAAAATGGTTACGGATGTTCAAGGTAAACGATTTTCGGATGAGGTAATTGCTCATTGCTTTTCAATTTATTGTGTATAAATTTTATAACTGGTTTTAAAGGATGGTTTGATTTAGTAATGTTTTAGTTAATATTGCTATTTTAGAGTATTGTTGTAAAAGTAATGATGCATAAATCCTTGATGTTGACCATGAGATTTTTCGACATTACCATGGCTCGTTGCAATATCTAACTGATATAAAGTAAGATGAGCATGGAAGTATAGGTTAAGATGTGACACCAAACCTGAATTCATAGAAGCATAGAACATTGGCAACACACAAACCATGAGACAATTTTTTATTCAGACAAGTATGAACACTAATGTATTTTGTAGTTTCAAGAGCTAAAAGAAAAAGTGCATAAGATGCAACTAAAAGTGGATGAATTGACAGCGAAAGATTCAGAAAGAAATAGTCAAATCTTGAAACTAACAGAAACGATGAAGGTATTCTTTAAATGTTACTCTCTTTTTGTGCTGCAGTCAATTGATACGAGTTTTGTTTTCTTATCTGTATTGAAAGATTTATTCATCTTTCACAGTTCTAGACATTCCTTTATCATTAATTTTGTTTATATATCTTTTTTATTGCTACCGCTCATTGCAGTTTTCATTGGTCAAAGTTTACTTTGTAGAAAATGTTAGGAGGTTTGGCACAATTTAACATGTCGAATACTAGTAATGAGGATTCCAAAAAACGTGAAAAGAAAGTTGAAACAGAAATGCATTGTCATGGCAAGGAGAATATAGCCCCTAACGTTCGTTTTTTATAACTTCCATTTTTGTTGGAAGTAATTTTAATTTGGTTTACCAAGTCTTTTGTCATAACGTTGTTAATAAGCTTAAGATAGCATAAATTTTCAACACAGAATTTCGTATAGTAGAAGTAAGAAATTTTTTATTAGAAGTAAGAAATTTTTTATTAAGTACGTGTAAGTCCTCACTGTTTAGAAGATATGTGTAACAGAGCGCATGACTGAAGACGATGAAGGAAATCCTGTAGCACATGGAAAACTTTTTGCGGGATCGGTAGGTGTCTGTTTTTTTCAATAAATATCAGTTTCATTTTTAATCAACAGCTCTATTTTTAAATTAATTTTTCTTATTGATATTAACTGCAGTGTCATTTTTAGAATGGTGAAAGAGGGCATTCAGCAGAAATAGTTATAAAATCGCGAATTTTAAAAGCTTTCTCTATGTTCTTTGCTTGAAACGGTTAGGTCTCACAGTGTAAAGTGTCACTGCAGAAGAAAAAAAATATTGACGAGCCATCCAAAGAAGATCTTAAATGGAAAATAATGAAGCGAAAATATGCTGAAAATGAAGAATTTAAACGCCTCGTTGATGAAGCCATTATGAAATGCGGAGGAGATGAGAGTCTCGACATTTTCGCCTCTCAGCAAAACAAAGGAGATACTGGCAGGTTCCGCTAATCATCCTTGGAATTTTGATTTTGTAACAAATACTTCTTGAAATGCATATATATACTAGATAGCATTGTGCAACAAATTATCTTGAAATTACTTTGTTCCATAACATTCGCTCCAGAACTCAGCTGAAAGAAAATGATAATGATTACAACTATAAGCACTTCTTAATGTTTCTCCTCCATACTTGAGAGTTCCATCACGACGGCATGAAAAAAAGGCACAGCCTATTTCACCTGTGATTCGAAGTACCACACGAGTGACGAAGCAGATGACTGTTGAACAAATTCAGCATTGTGAGAATTCTCCTGCATCATGTGCCTTTTCTTACGATTCTAAGAAATACCTGGCAAGACACGGCATCATTCCTGGTAAATATGCTCCGTCTTTTTTTTTTCAAGGAGTTTTAAATATCTTAAAACAGCTTATAATTTCAGCTCTGTGGTAGCAAAGTAAAATTATTGATAAAGCATGTGCCAATTCTACAATTGATATATTTTTTATGTTATGCTTCTTTTGTTTCACTGAAGCAAAACTGCTTGTATGGCACAGCTTTTGAAGGGGAAGGTAATCCCTCGTTTTTGATTAGAATTGAACTTTCCAGCGCTTAGTGACGATGATGAGGTGGAATACAATATAGCGTGCGGTAAACGATTAGATCCATGCATGCAGTCCTATTATTATCCAGGAAATTCGGTGACTTACTATTCAAAAAATATCAAATGTAACAATATGCTTTCAAAAGATAACTCTCACAGCGATTATCGAGAGGAGAAACATCATCATAAAGAAAAAGGAACACCAAGAGTTTTTGATGAACTGAATTATCAGGTACCTAATTTATGAATCTAATTTATGATCCTATCAGTTTGATATTTTTTCGCAGACCATTTATGTTTGATTGTGTTCGCGCGGAATGACTTACGTTTTATAGCTTCATCACCATTAGGAGACGCAGTGCGCTAAAAGACATGATAGTTTTGGTAATTTTTATCCTTGAATCTTATTATTTTCATTGTATTTGATTAAAGAATTTGAAAAGAAAAACTGGTTTTCAAAGTTTACAGAAGTATTACTTCACATTTTTATTTCATTTTCTTTTATTTTCATCATGCACACATTTTTTATTTGTTTGTCATTATTTATCATTATCAAAGTTTATTTTTAGATGGATCAATTTGACACCGATGATGACGAGGATGTGAATAATATCATTGAAATAAGTGATGAGGTGGAGGATCACTGTGGAACCGGCGGAAAGATGCGTTCATCTCGCGACAAGAGAGACTGGAGAAGTGCGTTTCACAGATCATTTTTAACCAAACTGTAATGAAAACAAAATCTAGAAATTTTTCTGGCCTTTCAATTTCTTTCGCTTTTGATTACTTCACACATCATTGATAATGTTCACTAAATTTATGAAATTAACAGTTGAAATGCTTAATCTGATTTCATTTCATGTACAAAATTTTACTTTTAACACTCATTTTTTTAAAAAAATCTCGCTAAGATGTTCGATATTCGTCTGCAGTTATTTTAACACTTTTTCTTTTCTCAGATCCAGCACGCAATGATTTTCGGCATCAGAAGGATGATGGAATGCGTCAGTATGCGAAACAGCGACTGAATAAATCCGCTTGGGATTAATTTCAATTTTTTAATCCTTGCTGTGATATTTGAAAATGATCCGCTGCTATGACTTCAAAGCATTCCTACACTTATTTTTCGTTCTGGCTTTTTCGTTCACTGTTTTTGATAAGTTTAAGTCAGATTCATGATATTTGTTTTTTTTCAAGTCTTCAAACATCAGTAGCGTTTTTACGAAGAGGTGTGGTTTTTTATGAATGGATTTCAGAAACTTAAAACCAAATCACTACCGAAAATAAGAATTTGTCGATTTTCAAATTAAGGAAGAAACTAGAGGAAGAGATTCATTTTTTAAATTTCTTAAAGTGTTACATAAATTTAACATCTGTAAGAATTCATATTTTCTTTGAAATAGCTGAGCCTTGTTTGGTATCATTCAGTGCTTATACCCATTTTACTCACTTCTTCTATACTTTTTCTATGCTATCTGTGTTGACGAGTATAATTTTGGATCCAATAGCATTTTTAATGTCGTTTAGAGAGGTACCAAATAAAAGTGGAAGATTTCTTTATTTGTTTCATTTATGCTGCTCTAACTTGCAGAAATTCATCTTCTGCACATCGTGATATCGATTTGGACAACAATTAAGTTGTAATGAAACATATTATCGAATTGTAAGATCCAAGTAGATCATCGCAAAATCCCGCGTACTTGCTGGTGATTGTTTTATGGCCACTTGCATAAAGGAGTGTATAAACCATGTTACGATTATTTTTGTTTTTTGTTCTTTCACCGTATGACTGCCATAAAATCCGTATAATCTTTATTTCAACGAAAAGACAATTATTTGAAAGAAGATATGAAGGTTTAAATTTAATTTTTGCACTAAGTTTTTAGTGAAAAAATAATTAATTAATTGATACAGAAAAAAGAGTAATAAGGTTGAAAAAAAAATGGCAATTTACAAGATGAAAGCAAGGTAGAGTGGCATGATAACAATTGATAGCCGGATCATTGATGCAACAATAGTGGAACGTATTTGAAGAAATTTTCCGGAATGTTTTAGGGAATTTGAAACACGAAAGAACTACAAATTTTAAATACAAAGAAATCAAAAATGTTTTCATAATTGCAAACATATCACGTTTATGTCACATATTTTAATCATTGCAATCAGAGATAATGATAATAATGATATCGGTGTCTAATGAGGAGATGAAATAGAAATTAAAATTTTCTCACTATCTTTTAATCAAAGTGATGTTTATGTTTTTGCAAAATTATATGGAATGATATTTGCAAATATACAAATATCGGTTAAACATGAATTGAAAAAATACGATAAAACCAAAAATATATCGCTACAAAAAATGATTATGAAATATACTACTAAATATTTGTGATAAAAATAATATAGCAAATAGCATGGCGAACTAAAATAACGATAGCTGTTAATAAAATTTTGATCAAGAATTTAAATTAGCGAAAATTGAAAATCATAGATGCTAATAAAATTCTGATCAAGAATTTCGAATTAATGAAAATTGATTAAAGAATAATTGATCATTTGACAAAACTTAAAACCGGTAAAATCTATAATAACATTTATATATATCAAATTTTCTTTTTTAAAATGCTACATGGAATTAAAATATTGTTGTTGTTGTTGTTGTTGTTGTTAGCTAAAGTACTCAATTATATACAGAAAAATATCATTGATATCAGTAAACTATATCATTATGTTGAAATTTTTCCTTTTAGCAATCAAAAAATTTAACGATTGCTTTTACGTCCAGTTGGTGTACGTGGATTAGTAAGCATTGGTATCGTAGCATCAGTATTAGGATGAAATTTTTCAGGAGATCGTACAGAAGAGAATTGTGAAGCAGTTGGTGATTCTGGCATTTGTGGAACGGAATGTGCCCGACGAATATCACCACCATTTTTTTTAATCACTGCTGTTTGAAACATTCCGGTTTCCAAACCAATACCATTACGTGAATTATGCGCATTATAGAATTTAAATTCATCCGTATATTTCTTATCGTGCATCGTAACATAACCAATCGGTTCACATAGATCCTGTAGCAAATAATTTGATCTTTTTAGAGAAAGAGAATTTAAATGATCAAAATTCAAAATTCAAAATCATTTAACAATAAATAATATATCGTAGAAGTTACCTTGAAACAATTATCGTCAGCATTATAAAACGAATTATAGCCTCCTTGTAAAACATAAATTTCATTGTAATAAAGAAATGGATATTTGTCATAATTTCGGACACGATCACTTTTTCGTAAATGTGATGCGCTATAATTAAAAATTTAAAAAAAAAAAAGATAAAACAAAAAAGGAAAGAAATAACGATTCAAATTTTCTCATCTCATCATCATTTAATTGAAATGAATTCTTATCTATATGAATAATAATTAATATAATTAGCATAAAATTAATAAAAAGATAGTTTAGTCATTGCAATGGTTGAATTTGTTGTTAATTTAAAAATGCAACTAAAAGATTTAATAACAGGTATGAAAAGGGAAATAGTTCCTAATTCTGAAATTAAGATAACTACAATAATATTAGAGAGTTAATTCGGAAATGTTATTTTAGAATATTGAAGAAGTAAATTTTAATGGAATCGAATTAACTTTTCTCATTTAATTATATAGCAGCTATTGCATAAATTATATTTTAAACAAATAATAAATCTACACAAAAAAAAGAAAACTAGGAATTTAATTACATAAATAAAATGTAGAATTTAATTACATAAATAAAATATAGTAATAACATACAGTACTGGCCCTCGAGCGCTTGAATATTCGCAATAAAATATTGGAATTTTTTCAGCCATAATTTTTAATATTTTTGGACATTCAGGAAAGAATGTATTTTCCAGTACCACAGGATCAAATATATTTAATGCACCCTGAAAATGAAATTAATACTCATTAAATCAATAATGATTTTTTATATTTAGGTTAGAGATAAAATTAATTTTAGAAACATTTACGAGATAATACATATACTTATATATATATGACTATTAAAAGAACGATCGTACAATGATGATTATATATATATATATTAAAAGAACGATCGTACAATGATATTTTAAAAAGCTGCAAATTACAATTTAACTTCAATTCAATCATACACAGTATTATCATATATACTTTAAATCATTTTATAGCTTATTATTTTTTAGTGCTTGGAAATTATTTCATAAAATCTTTCTTCAAGCATATAATTATCATGTGAATAAATTAGATGCTAATTACCTTAATATGTCCACCTCTATATTCATATGGATAACGACAATCGATAAGAATGTATTTGTTAATGAATTCTTTTGGTTTCATCGATTCAATTAATTCTTTTAGGACAATTTTTTCAATGCATGCAAAACCGGCTGTAAGAATTGTTGGTTTCTTCACAATTGCTAATGAATATTTCTGAAAAATAATATTTGAAATTTCTTAAGAATAGAATTAAAAGTGATGCAAATTCACATCATTGTTATTATAATTTTTTTTTCATTAGCAAATTGCTAATTATTAATTATTATTAATATTACTAATAATTACTAATATTATAGTAATTTACAAATACAAATACAAATAATACTAACAATTACTAATATTACTAATAATTAATTAAATTGGTAATTAAAATGTGAAAAACATGAAATCCTTTTTTTGAAGTATAAAAAAATGTGAAAAAAAATTTTCCATAAAAAAAATAAATTTGAAATTTAAATTTGAGAAAATTTTGAAGAGCTATTATACATATATTATATGTTATTATTATATTATATATTATATATATTAT